TTACATATTTCCAAATTTGTTGGTCACATATTATATTTTTTGTCACAGATTAACAAATTTTAAGATCACAGTTAAATCACCCAAACCCCTGTCCCCCAATCCATAATACACCGCCAATACTTGGTCACTGATTGATATAGTTGGTCATATACACCCAACACCCATCCCTCAATCCCAAAACACCACCAATAGTTGTTCACGGATCGACCAAATAGTTGGTCACATAAACTCTTCGTCTCATCCGCCTGATGTCGCCATTGCCACCAATAGTTGGTCGACCAACAATAACACCATTGACAACCAACCACCAACAACAGCTGCACACAGAGATCTGCCACACCACAAAAGAGAAACCACTGTAAGATCACAACCAAAAAATCACTATGGTATAATTAGAAAAATTCAATTTGAAAGAAAATAAAAACAAAGACAGTTCACTAGATTCCATAGAATTTGATACTCATAACCCATAAACCTTAGATAAATCACTCCACTACCAAATTGAAGATCTGTCTTTTACATTAAAATCAATGGTTACCCATAGGTATATTCTATATCAATAGAAAAATTAAATCCGTAAAGAATACTCAGAAACTATCGGATTTAAAGATCTATATAAATCGTCAACGTAAAATAGGCTTTATCAAAAAATAAATTTAACTATGTAATAGTCAAACCACCATAACATCAGATCTACAAATCAATTAAACAGAAAACGTGATTAAATTATGTGTAACAGATAACTGGAAGAGTAACATTAGATCTCGAATGAACGATTCCTTTAGTATAATCACAGTAGCGTCACGCTACTGATCGCAGCAAGGGGAGGGAAGGGGAGGGGCGAGGGTGGTGGTGGAGGGAGGAGGAGGCAGGGAGTGAGGGAGGATAAGGGGTAGGAGGCGACGGTCTGTGGTGGTAGTAGTGGTGGTGGGAGGAGGCGACAGGCGGTTGTGGTGGGAGGAGAGAAATGGAGCAAGCGACGTGTGGAGAGAGTGAGAGGATAGAGAGAAATTGATAGATTTAAGGTTTTAATTTATTAAAATGATAAAAATCAGAAAAATGGAAAAATAAAGTGAAAACCTTATTTTTTAAAAACTCAAACTAAAGGCCTGGTTTTTGGTAATTTTCCCTTCCTTCTTTTGTGGATGTAACGTGTTTTATTCCATTGCATCGTCGGCATTGAGAGCTTGGGGTTAGCTCGTATATGACAATTCGTATATTATTTAGCCTTGTTTGACAAGTATTATTTTTAAACTCTTTTTTTTTTATACTTAATTTCAACCACACATTCACATAATAAGATGTTTTGCATATAAACTCAAAAAATTTCCTACTTTTTAAGGGTAAATAGCACAGAACATTCCTACCTTTAATATCATTGTGCAATACGTCCCTACCTTTTATTTTTTAACATTTTCACCCCACCTTCCACCTTTCATTACACAAAAGGTCATTTTCAACCATTTTTTCAATAAAATACGATTTTACCCTCCTATTC